GAGATAGCTTAGGAGATAAATAGGAATTAGAGATAATTTGGGAGAAAGTGGGGGATGAGATAAATAGGAATTAGAGATAATTTAGGAGAAAGTGGTAGATAGTGGTGCCACTTGGCTAGATATTAGAAAAGCTAGTCACTCTTTTTTTATCTATTGGCTATTAAAGATAATTTAGCCAATGTTGTTTCCTTATTGGTTTAATGGGCAATTATGTGGAGTTTAAAAAAAATAAAAAGAAAAAAAAAACAGGAAATTAAGAAGGGGGTTTGAAGCAAAGAGAGGCATGGTGATGTGGACAACCTTGCTTTATATATATGATAGATAAGATTCGACTATAATATTGGAAAGATATGATATTTGAAAAATTTTTTACCAACCAACTGGTATCATAAACATGGTAGTCAATCAGGTATTATTTATCAACTTTTCCGATACCATGTCTTTCTCGCACCATAGATTTTCCCAAAATATAAATATATGTATGTATATATAGATAAATGCATATATAATATATACATAAATACTTGTAAAGAAAAATGTATAAATACATAGATATATACATTTTTGGATGCATAGTTGTATAATGCATACATGCATATGAATAATGAATACCTATATACACATACTATCGGGGACTCGTGCGATGCGCAAGCTTTATTAAGGGAAAGCTAAACAATAGAAATACATAAAAGTATATAATTGTTTTATATTTAAACTTTTTAATAACCAATTTGATTGAACTCGACCCAAGTTAGTCGGTTTTCTAGTATTTTCGACTGGCTTTGGTTCAACAATTTTCTAACTATATTTAGTTTTTTTAATTTATTTTTTAATAATACCACTATAATTTATTAAATTTAAATTTAATTTTTAAGCTTAAATCTTTTGAACAGACAAACCAAACCGAAAATAGACCCAAATCGATACAACTCGAGTTGGTGGGTTTCACTTTTCACTAATGGTCAGTCAGTTTTGGGTGTCAAACTCCTGACCTGACCAAGTCGATTTGGCTAGTGAAACAACCTGCAACCGAAGTGAACCAATCCTTGAACACTCCTAATTTCAGCTAAATTAATTGTCCAATCTCTAATAAATAACAATAGTTTAATCACCAATAATTATTGAAAATTTATAGCAAAAGTACACAATTACTGAAAATAAATTTATAATGAAAATTTATAATAAATAGCAATAGTTTAATCACCAACAATGTTCATGGAAGGATCATACGAAACTAAGTGCCAAGAATCATTTTAATGAGAGCCTAATATTCTTTTTCAATAGCCAACTGCCAATTAACTGATTTTGTAGCTTGATTAATATTTTTGGGTTCTTGTTCTTCGAAAAGAGTAAGAAGATATGAGGGAATTGGGTACCTTGTAGCAAGCTAAGATCGTGGCAAGGTACTATCCATAGACCTGGTACGTATGGAATGAGAATGTACCGGTTGTGAAACTGGAGCTGTAGTATCCAATAATTCTTGAATGTTGTGGTATCTTTGTGGGCGATCAAAAGAAACCTGAGCCAGAGATGCTAGGACTAGAGAGGCTATGGTCGAACTAGAGCTAGACTCAAGAGGAGTCACAGTGTGGTGCTGCTGTGATGATGATGGTGGACATGGAGGTTCCAAATTCCGAGGGACTGGTGCTGAGATGAAAGTACCCGAAGGAGTAGGAGAGGCGCAAGGAGGTGTTTCACCAATTCCCGGAAATAAGTTTTCATCAAACACAACATGCCAAGCTATAAAGAGACGCCCTAAAGGAACATGCATACAACGGTATTCTTTGTGGGAGGTACTGTAACCAATGAAAATACACTAGGGGGATCGAAATTGGAATTTATTCTTGTTGTACGGCCTCAGAAAAGGATAGAAAGCACAACCAAAGCAATGCAGCAGAGAATAATCAGGAAGGGACTGAAAAAGTTTCTCATAAGGTGGCATACCATTGAGTACCTTAGTTGGTAAACGATTGATCAAAAAGACAACAATTTCAACTGCAACAGCCTAGAAGGAGAAGGGGAGATTGGAGGAGGCCAGTAGAGATAGAGAAGATTCAACCACATGTTGGTGCTTCCAATCAACTGATCCATTCTACTCATGCATGTGAGGGCATGCCAGTCGATGTGTTATTCCTTGAGAGTCAAGATACCGGGACAGGGAACAATATTTTCCACCCCAATCAGATTGAAAAACTTTTACCTTTGCATCAAATAGGACTTCTACATGCCTCTTGAATTTAAGAAATAAATCAAATACATCAAATTTTCGAACCATAGGATACACCCAAGAAAATTTCAAAAAATCATCCACAAAAATGACATAATAAGAAAATCCACTATTTGATTTAACGAGAGTAGGTCCCCATACATCAGAGAAAATTAAATCTAATAGACGCTTGGACTGAGAACTAGAAGACTTCAAGGGAAATCTATGACTTTTGCCCATTTGACACGACTCACAAACTAACTGATTAACACTAGATGTATTAAAGGGAAGACCAAATCTGGAAATAACTTGCTGTACATTATGCATAGTTGCATGACCTAACTGAAGATGCCAACCATGAAGTGACGTGCATTCTCCAACAAGAGCTTCTCGAGCGATTGTGGCTGAAGTAGGAAAGCTATATAGTCCATCTCTATTGACCCCTCGATGCATGATTTTCCCCGTATAATCCTTCACATAGCAGCAGTCTTGGTGAAACTCAAAAAATAGATCATTGTCTTTTGTAAATCGACTGACAGGTAGTAAATTTTTGCAGATAGAGGGAACATGGCAGATATCTTTCAAAGAAAATGCATGCTGATTAAATATCAGACGTGAGAGCTAAGTCTTCAAGTCAGCTTTCATGATTCAGAAGAACTCCAATGATGTTTTCAATGCCAAGATATGTTGCATCTGGTCAGTTAGTCAATGCTATAACCACAAACTCATACTCACTTCCTAGGCCAGAAAGAATATAGAGTACTAGTTCTGATTTGAGAACTGATTCAGATACTATAGGAAACAGAACTGATGAGGGGTGATTTGGCTCGACCTAATGAATAGAGGACACGTGGATGAAACTTGCTAGCCAGGTGATGACTCGGTGCTTCCGACCACCTCGGCAGATCGATCACCTCGGGTGTCCCATTCACTTTGGATTGCCCCGAGGAAAGGGTATCTCAGATGCTCGTATTTGACGAGGTGGCACGTAGCAGATTCTAGAAGCTCGCCAGTTGTCTCTGATCCTTTCGGGATCACACTGCGCATCCATAGGTCTTATCCTCATCCCGCCTGATTCGGGTGGACACGATGAGGTTTATCAGCCAGCACGCTATCCACCTTCCGGAGCAAAATGAACTCCCACTGCTTGGTCCGTATAGTATCAATCCAGAACCACTTCCTCACTGATTAGACAAGCTGTCTACGTGGAGGATCTAGGGCTCCTCCTCCCAGGTCGGACTTTCTCTGACCGAGACCGATGTTGCGCTGGTCAATACCTCCAATGTGCCAACCGGCTCAATCACTTCAGGGACCGGCGTACTGAATGTACATTTTACTATGAAGTCCGCCAAGACATAGGCTTTGATCGTTGGGCGTGGCTCGAACCGAATGTCGTACTTGCTCAGCTCGATGGCCCACTTCGTCAATCTCCTTGACACCTCGGTCTTTAATAGAATGTGCCTCAATGGTTTGTTGGTGAGGATGACGATCGTATGGTCTTGGAAGTACGGGCGCAATTTTCGTGCTGCTATTACCAGTGCGTACGCTAGCTTTTCGATATCGGGGTATCTGGTTTATGCAGCCTGCAAGACTTTACTTACATAGTAGACGGGCTGTTGGACCCGATCTACCTCTTTGATTAGTATCGAGCTAACCACCTCGTCACTCGTGGAGAGGTACAGCTTTAGCTCGTCACCTTCCTCAGGTCGGGTCAAAACTAGTGTGGTACTTTAGTACTTTTTCAACTCGTTAAACATAAGCTGGCACTCTTTGGTCCACACAAAGCCTTCATTCTTTTTTATTGCCTTAAAGAAAGGTAGGCACCAACCCGCTGATTTAGACATAAATTGATTTAGGGCAGCTACCCGGCCAGTTAACCTTTGAACTTCTTTTATCTTTTGGGGCGGTCTCATATCTAGTATGGCCTTTATTTTATCCGGTTTAGCTTCAATGACACGCCAGTTTACTATGTAACCAAGAAATTTTCCCGACGTAACCCTGAAAACACACTTGTTTAGGTTGAGTTTCATGTTAAACTTTCTTAGTATTTGAAAAACACAATTTAGATTGTCAATTAAGGAGTTCGAAAACTGGGTCTTCATGACCATGCCATCAACATAACACTCGACTTTATTTCCAATAAGAGGTTCAAAAACTTTGTTTACAAATCTTTGGAAAGTTGCTCCAGCATTTTTCAATCCGAAGGGCATCACTTTATAGTAGTATAGCCCTAGTTCAGTTACAAAAGCGGTCTTGTCCTAGTCAGCTACATCCATCCTAATTTGGTTGTAGACAGAGTAGGCATCCATGAAGCTCAACAACTCATGCCCTGAGGTGTCGCATCTATCAGGCAGTCTATTATAAGGAGTGGGAAGCAATCCTTCGGGCAGGCTCTATTGAGGTCAGTGTAGTTGACATACATGCACCACTTTCCGTTGGTCTTCTTCACCAAAACGGGATTGGCCACCCAGATCGGGTATTGGACCTCCTTAACCAAGTTTGCTGCGAGGACCTTCCCGACTTCCTCGTCAACTACCCTCTACCACTCTGAGGCGAGGTTTCATTTCCTTTGTTTAACTGGCCTGATAGCTACAACCGAAGAGGTTTGCCTAGCAAAGCACCGTTCTAGAGGGTCTTCGTCGGCTCAGCTTCAGAAACCGATACATAGACTATTTCCTCCATAGGGGCAGCTCGCTCCTCTGTATGCTCAAGTGGAGGCTCTAGTTCGACATTCTCTACCAACTTTGCCTTGCCTCTCAACGCTGCCACGTAGCACTTACACGATTCTAACTGATCACCTCGTACTACCCCCATTCCGCAATTTGTTGGGAACTTCATCGATAGGTAAATAGGTGGACACTATTGCTCGTAGGGCATGCAGAATAGGTCGACCTAAAATTGCGTTGTAGGGGGACGGGGTCGCGACCACTAGGAATGTGTGCTTGAAGCGCATTGAGTTAGGCCATGTTCTTGCTATAATTGGTACTGCCACTTGACCGAGGGGCCTGGCTACTTTGCCACTGAATCCCACCAAGGGTGAATCTGCTGGATTCATGTCGCTTCGCTGTAGATGCAACTTGTCGAAGGCTTCTAGAAACAGGATGTCCACCGAACTCTCTGAGTCTACCAAGACCCACTTTACCTCGAAGTCATTGATTTCAAGCTTGATGATGAGGGCATCATCATGTGGGTATTGTATCCCACGCACATCGTCCTCGGTGAAGTAAATGGGCTCTTCCACCCAAGGTCTCTTTGGAGGGTTTTTTGCTTCATGCTTTAACTCCCGATCTGAAGTCTTTCCTACTGCTGTTGTGCACCCCACAACAATGGACCCACTGGTGATCATGTTGATCACCCTACGGATCGGCTTGTCTTTAGGAGGCTGTTGTTGCCGAGGTGGTTGGTCATTTCTTCTGCTTGACTCCGGAACTTCCCTTATCTGGTTGGCTTGTCGGTCTGATGACTCCCTACTCTCATGCTGAATGTACTTAGTCAAATACCTGTAGCGGATCAGCTCTTCAATCTTGTCGTGGAGGTTGCGGCAATTCTCAGTGTTGTGCTTGATGTTGCGATGAAAGTGAAAATAGACATTTGGGTTCCTGGTCGTCAGATCTCCTCACAACCTGGGTGACCACTTGACAAAAGAAGAATCCTTGATCACCATCAGGATATCACCTCGCTTTGCATTGAGGGGGGGTGTTGGATGTTCTTTGACGGGGAGACTTGCTTCTCCTCGGTGACTTACTCATCTTCCGCCGGTACTTGCTGCTATTGGCTCCTTCATCTTCTTTCTTCCTCTTCTCGCCTTGTTGGACCTCTGCCTTTGAGCCGAGAGCTTCTTTTATGCTCATGAACCTCTCAGCATAGTCGAAGAACTCCATGATTGTCCTTGGACGATGTACTCTGAGGTACCATGCGAATTCCTTGTGCTTAACTCCCTTTCGCACTGCAGTGAGGCACATAGCCGGATCAAGATCTAGTATCTGCAAACACTCCTCAATGAAACGTAAAGAAGAATCCTTGATCACCATCAAGATATCACCTCGCTTTGCATTGAGGGGGGGGGGGTGTTGGATGTTCTTTGATGGGGAGACTTGCTTCTCCTCAGTGACTTACAAATCTTCTGCCGGTACTTGCTGCTACTATCTCCTTCATCTTCTCTCTTCCTCTTCTCGCCTTGTTGGACCTCTGCCTTTGAGCCGAGAGCTTCTTCTATGCTCATGAACCTCTCAGCATAGTCGAAGAACTCCATGATTGTCCTTGGATGATGTACTCCGAGGTACCATGCAAACTCCTTGTGCTTAACTCCCTTTCGTGCTGCAGTGAGGCACATAGCTGGATCGAGATCTAGTATCTGCAAACACTCCTCATTGAAACGTAAAGAAGAATCCTTGATCACCATCAGGATACCACCTCACTTTGCATTGAGGGGGGGGGGGGKGTTGGATGTTCTTTGGCAGGGAGACTTGCTTCTCCTCAGTGACTTACTCATCTTCTGCCAGTACTTACTGCTACTGGCTCCTTGATCTTCTCTCTTCCTCTTCTCGCCTTGTTGGACCTCTGCCTTTGAGCCGAGAGCTTCTTTTATGCTCATGAACCTCTCAGCATAGTCGAAGAACTCCGTGATTGTACTTGGACGATGTACTCCGAGGTACCATGCGAACTCCTTGTGCTTAACTCCCTTTCGCGCTGTAGTGAGGCGCATAGTCGGATCGAGATCTGGTATCTGCAAACACTCCTCATTGAAATGTTTGATGTAGCTTCGTATTGATTCATTCTCCCTCTGGACCACGTTCAGAAGGCTTTCTTGTGACTTTGGGCACTTCTTACTAGTGATGAAGTGAGCAGTAAACATGTTGGTGAACTAAGCCCAACTTTTGATCGAGCTCGGTGCTATGTTTCTATACCACTGCCTGGCTAATCCTCTGAAGGTGGTGGAAAAGGCCACACACATGCACGCCTCGTCTGCTCCAGCAAGGTGCATTTGAGACTAAAATGCATTGATGTGATCATTAGGGTCGAACTTCCCATTGTACATCTCTAGTGTAGGTGTCTTGAAGTCCTTTGGCCTTGGGGCCGCTAGTATCTTGGGTGATAGGGGGAGGGACGGCTCAACAATGTAGGAGCCGGCTATGTAGCTACTGAGCTCATTTCCTCCCTCACCCTGCTTGGTTCCAGTGGCTGACTGCTTCTCGGTGGTGGGTGTTCCTGGCTAATGATCGACACATCTTGCGACGTCGTTACTTCTTAGGTGCTTCCACATTGGTACTGTTGACCTCGTTGTTGTTTGGCACTTTGACCCTGGTTTGTTCTCGCTCCTAAACACTGTCGTGAGGTGGGAGTGGGTTATTACCTTCGGTGTCTTCTTGGTCGCGAACTCGCTGCTGACTATTACAGGGAGCCAAGGGGACTCGTTGTGAGTCCGCGCCTCATGCTCTAAGCTGGCAGTCATTGACTTGTGACTCGCGATTCTTAGTTCGCGAGTGCTGTTGCTGATTGGTCCTTGTATGCTGACTGACTTCAAGCCTATCTTTAGGGTTTCCTCTCTAAGAAGGTGAGGGTGTTCGCTGACCGTCAACTCTACCCCGAGGTGGGGTCCACTCTTGAGGAAGGATTGGGACCTGTGGGTTTCCCACACTTCGAGGAGGAGATCAGTGTACACCCTGCTGCTGCTGTTGATTATGGACCTGGTGCTGGTTCTGGTTTTGGTACTGATTTTGGTGTTGATTTTGATGCTAGTTCGGTTGCAATGGTGGAAATTGCTGCTGGTATTGTTGACAAAAGTAGTATTGCTAGAATTGGTGCATTTGTTGCATTTGTAGTTGCATGGTTTAGACACTTTGGACCAACTCATCGAACTGCTGGTGCCCACCCCTAGAGGGACCACAGAGGGCTCTGGCACGGAGAAAGTAGCGCTTACCTGGGGTAAGGGAGCGTTCAACGGCTGAGTTTGGTACTGAGTCTGCTGTGTTGATATAGTAGGGATCCCTAAGACTGTGAGGGGAATGGTGAACTGGCCGATGCAAACCATGGGGAACTCCTAGCTAGCCGTAGTTTACTCCTATCCCCCAGAGATAGTCATCTCAATGCTCTTCACGGTGTTGCTTGTAGAAGCCATTGAATGAGTGAAACAGTAGGGTATGAAGGTTGGCTTTTCGATCGTAGTTCCCAGAAACGGTGCCAATTGATGGTGCACGATCCGGAAGCTCCTAGCTGGAAGGTTACCTGGATGCTGGCCGCTTAGCGAGCTGGTTCAAACTACAAGAAAGTGGATTAGAGAACTTGAAGTGGCTAACCCAGCGAGGTCGCTCCGATGCTTAAGTTAGTATTGTATTCTGGTAGCGAGATGAAAGCCCGAATGCAAGTAAGCTAGTGAGCAAATAATCACGCGTACCTTGTGCTATGGGGGCTAATGTCCTTATATAGTTGGGTTGCCATGAGCCTCACAAAACCTCTCCGAGATCCTTGGACCGAGCAGTAGGAGTCCGTTCTTCTTTGGAAGGTGGATAACGTGCTAGTCGATAAACCTCATCGTGTCCACCTGAATCGGGCGGGATGAGGATAAGACATATGAATGTGTGGCTTGATCCCAAAAGGCTCGGAGACAACTAGCGAGCTTCTAGAATCTGCTACCTGTCACCTCATCAAATACGGGCTTCCGAGATACCTTGTCCTCGGAGCAATCCGAAGTGAATGGGACACACGAGGTGACAATCTGCCTAGGTGGTCAGAAGCGCGAGTTATCACCTGGCTGGCAAGTTTCGTTCACGTGTCCTCTGTTCATCAAGTTGGGGCCAAATCACCCCTCATTAGGAATCATTCTAGCCACCGGTTTTCGGGTTGATGGTCCGACCATCTGGTTCGAATGGACGACCTGTTCTGATAGCATATTAAAAAAATTAAAAAATAAAAAAGGTTAGAAACCGTTGAGCGGGTTGACGGGTCGACCGCCCGGGTCAACGACTAATGACTTTTTCAATGGTTTTTTACCAGATACCAGGTTTAGGGTAAATGGAACCAGTTGCCTAGAAGGTTCCCGAGCCGAACGGTCTGATCGTTTGGGTCAACGGAGGTTCAAAAATGTTGCAAAAAATTAAAAAAGATCTTAAAATTTTATTTTATATGAATTTTGGATGTGCACAATTGTTTATATATGTAATAATAAAATGAAATAATATAATAAAATTGAAAATATAAATATATATATATTAATATATTATATAATTATTGTATAAAATATATGACTCGAGCTCATGTAGGCCCATGCCAAGCCACATACTGGGTTGGTCCATGAGCCAAGTCTTAGTCCAGGCCGGGCCATGAACCAGGCTAAGCCATGTTTTTCAAAAGTTTTAAACAAATAATGAAAATTTTAACATAAATTAAAAAAGATCTTAAAATTTTATTTTAACTCGAGCCCGCATGGGCCTATGCTGTACCATGGGCTAGGCTGGTCCATAGGCCAAGTCTTAAGCTAGGCCAGACCACGAACCGGGTTAAACCTATTTCATGGGCTTGATAGCCCGATAATTCAGCTTAACCCATTAACAATGCTAAATTAATTAATTAAATAATTTGAGATAGCCTTTACCCATCTTGTGTTGATAATATATAAAGTTTTATTTATTTATTTACTCAATTTACTATATTATTTAATTAATTAATAATTTAATAATCTAACAAATTATTATTGCTAGCAAAAGTAAAACATAGAATTATGTATATATTTATATATATTTACTCTCTCATTTGATTGTCTATTTATCTCATTTATTTTATTAAATTTATTATTATTTAACTATTTACATTATTCCAGTATAGAAAACAAAAATACAATGACAATAGTCATCTCTCCCTCTTTGAATTTATTGCCTGATGGCCGTGGTTATTTATTTATTATTTTATTTTATTAAATTAAATATATTATTGTCTATATATTTTTATTTATTTTAAATACATTATTTCCAATAAATTTTTAATTAAAAAATTTACCTTTCGCAAATTTTATGCACTTAACGTCATGTTTTGCCCCTGCAACGCGGGTCCCCTCCGCGAGTTATTATATTAAAAAAATAGAGCAGTGAAATCGTATCGAGAGCATACATAAATAAGAAACGAGATTCATTCCTTTTCTGCACAAAGCCAAGCCCCGTTTGGGGGAGAGGTTTTGCGAGTGCAATCTGGCAGCAATGCATGTCTCCTCTTCTACTCTTCTGTGAAATCGTTTTCGCTTTCATAATCTCACCTCAATTCGTTCATATCTGCGTTTTTTTCCTAATTCGTTTGTTTAATTTAATCCACATTTATTCCTTGTTGCTGCTTCCTTCTCCTTCTTCCTCTACAGGTTTTGTTCATTGATTTCGTCCTCCTATCACAGGGGCGGAGCGACTGTGAAGATAGGAAACAACAGAAACCCTAGAGGGAGTCCAAGACCATGAAGGGAAACGGGAAGGATTCAGAGAAGTTGCTTTGGGATCAGATGAGGAGCTCCTCCGGTAACCCCATTGCTGTCTCCGCCGCTCCAGCTCGAGCTCTCCCGAAGCTCATGGTCTGGCTCATCCTTTTCATCTCTCTTACCTACATCGTCTATACATTAAAGCTTCTCTCCACTTCCCGCGCCTGTCACCAAGATGATTCCTTCGACCATCCCTACCGTCGTCTTTCCTCATCATCTTCTCTAATCTCCAACATTACACTCGCGGCTGCGGAGGTAAATCTGAATCACACGGTTGGAGTTATTCAGCAAGAAGAGAATCGGAGAACCCCTCAACACCAACGAACAGGGCTCCAACACATTGTGTTCGGAATCGCAGCTTCGGCGAGATTATGGGAACAGAGGAAAAATTACATCAAGATATGGTGGAGGCCCAAGGAGATGAGGGGAATCGTATGGCTGGATAATCCGGTCAAGAGTCATAAGGACGAAGGGCTACCGCCATTGAAGATCTCAGGCGATACGTCTCGGTTTTCTTATAAGAACCGGCAGGGTCACCGTTCAGCCATTCGGATCTCAAGGATCGTATCCGAGACGTTGAGGCTGGGAATGAAGGATGTGAGGTGGTTCGTGATGGGGGATGACGATACGGTGTTCATTCCAGAGAATCTGGTTAGGGTTTTGTCGAAATACGACCACAATCAGTTCTATTACATAGGGAGCTTATCGGAAAGCCATTTACAGAATATATACTTCTCGTACGGGATGGCCTACGGTGGGGGAGGATTCGCCATTAGTTACCCATTGGCGAAAGAGCTCGAAAAAATGCAAGACAGGTGCATACAGAGATACCCGGGCTTGTACGGCTCCGACGATCGGATGCAAGCTTGCATGGCTGAGCTTGGTGTACCCCTCACCAAGGATCTTGGGTTCCACCAGGTTTGTCTCTGTTTTTCCTTTCCTTTCTTTACAACTATCTGAAAAAAAATAGTCCCTCTTCCCAATGTTATTAAATTATAGCTTTATTTAATTTTAAGTGTGTGGTTCTGAGTTTATCTTCGTTTCGCCAGCGGTTATTGTGATCGAACAGAAGACTTGCTCTTCTGATCCCCTCTCCTGTTTCTCCGTCGCCATTTTTTGCTGTTTTTTCGATCTTAGTACGCCGATATTTCGGAATAAATCAATGAACTGATCAACCCAACGAAGGAACACATGGGTCGCACCTCGCCGAATACCGCTCCTCTCCTCTTTCCCTTTTTTGTCCTTGCGTTTAATAAATTAATCGGATTACTCTTATGTTCTTTTAATGCACTAAGTAGGACTAAATTTTTCTTGAGTCTCTCTTTGCGGTTCCCGAGAAATTCCAGGGTGATAGAGTACATTCATCCGGTCAGTCTTATAGACCGTAGCTAGGGAGCCTAGCGTATACAATGACAATGCACTGAGAGGGCAAATCGTGCCGGTGATATTGTGGTACGCAATAAATGGGTACAGCGTTCCATCTTCTCCGTAGTAATACTGTAACAGAATCTTGATCCGGCATTTGGGTCTCTAATGGACCCATCATGGGCCGAATCGCCCATCACGGCCTAATTGTCTTGGCCTTACCGGAGCTGGGCTCAGCATTAAAGCAGTGTCTGATCAAGTGTCCCTTCGTCATAGGCTTGTTAGGAAGTCTGTTGTCTTTTCCTTCCGATTTTAGGATAATTGGGTAATTTCCTCGTGGTCATTTTGACTCTTCATTGGCATGTAATGTTATCACCACAAAAATCGCGACGATTTGAGTTCCCTTGAATATTTTCCTTGGAGGAGCCTCTCTTCAATGGACCCGACGACCCTGTGGATGCAAATATGCAATTCTGAAGTCTAAACACGGCTTATCAGACAACTGGGTTAAGTCGAGCGTCTCTCTACTCTTTTCATGGCTATGGGTAGTGATTAGGCTAAATTTCCTTTGCTACAAATGATACTTTCTGTCTCTCTGTCCCCTGATGTGATTTGATGCTTGTTGACGTAAATCCAAGCCTCTATCAGCTGAATGGTGGGACAGTGTCGGAGTGTAGGACCAAAATTTGTCAAAAAAAAATAAAAAAAACGGTGAAGTACACTGCACTCCACTGCATAAATATAAAATTACAGCCCCTCCCTATAAACCAGATTCATCCCACCTGTACGAAAGAGGGTTAAAAATTCAGATGTGGGCTGAACAGTCATTCTACCAAAAAATCCCTCAGTGCTGATGCCATGTTTTTGCATCGGATTCTCGATCAATCGTAAAGGAGCGACGCTTGAAAAGTATGATAATTAATGTGCTTCTTTTTCTTTCCTCTGTTACTGTGTGTTTGCTTTGGCTAATCTAGTTCATGCCTTTAGTACTGTAAATTGTAAAATTCTCTTTTAAGTCCAAAGTAACGTCTGGTCTGATTCTTGTTTTTGTTGTTTATGGATGGTGGTGATTCAGTACGATGTGTACGGGAACTTATTTGGGCTTCTTGCTGCGCATCCTGTGACGCCGTTGGTGTCGCTGCACCACCTCGATGTGGTGGAGCCGATATTCCCCAATGTAACCCGGGTTAAGGCTCTTCAACGGCTGATGGTGCCGATGAAGCTCGACTCGGCTGGCCTCATGCAGCAGTCCATATGCTATGACAAAGAAAAGAGTTGGACGCTCTCCGTTTCTTGGGGGTTCGCCGTTCAGATATTCCGGGGTGTATTCTCGCCCCGGGAGATGGAGATGCCTTCAAGAACTTTCCTCAATTGGTACAGGAAGGCTGACTACACTGCATACGCCTTCAACACTCGCCCCGTCACCCGGAATCCATGCCAAAAGCCCTTCGTGTTTTATTTGTCTATGGCAAAATACGATTCCACCACAAAGCAGACGGTGAGCGAGTACCATCGCCACCGAGTTCCACATCCGGTGTGCAGGTGGAAGATGGCAGATCCTGAAGATATTGAAAGAGTGGTGGTTTACAAGAGACCTGACCCACATCTATGGGACAAGGTAAGCATGTGTTGTGTTTTTCTTAGCTCTTCGGTCTTCATTTCAACCTTTGGTACACGAACTATATTATCTTATTTTATCTGCTAAACTTTTTTGCGCTGTTTGCGCACTGTCATAGTTTCATTCAATCTAATGTTGTTTAATCTTTTCAATGTGATGTGCAGTCTCCGAGGAGAAATTGTTGCAGGGTCATGCCTTCAGGAAAGAGAGGGAATGTAGTGATTGACGTGGGTGTATGTAGGGAAGGTGAAAATCAGTGACAGTGAATTATAGAAAGGTCAGAGAGGGAGAGAGACCCTTTGGGACCTTTCACCTTCCTCTCTCCTTTCCATTCTTAAATGGCTTCTTTTCCACTTCTTTTGTAATTTCTGTTCAATAGCGAAGAAGCATCATTAGAAAATGAAATTATACGAGGAATTAGGTGTTCTTTGCATTTATCAACGAGTCATGGGTTATTTGAAAGCAGTTCCAGTTCCACACAGACTCAAGTGATGACAAAAGCTTGTATTGGGAGTTGGGACTACGGCGGTCCATTTAGGAGTTTAGAGTGATATGGGTCCCACCAATTTGCCACGTGTTGCACGATAAGAGGTTCAAGAAATAGAGGTGGTTTTTGTATGGTTAATTTCTTGAGTAGAACCAGTAGTTCCTTTATTTTTTAGAAGTAGAACCAGTAGTTTGAAATAGCAATATATGAACGTGCAAGTCATCGTGGGGAGAGGAAATTAAATGGGCTAAAATTCTATGATGGTAGTCGTATCGGTGTACTTCGAATCGATTTTGAAGGATCTAAATCAAATCAACTCTAATCTATTTGAATTCTTAATTGTTTTATCTGCTCATTTCTTTTTTTCCCTACATACATTATTTCCAAATAATGTAAGAACTTTTATTTTTTGTATATATCGAACAAGATGTTTAGGGTACAATATATATATACATACAAAAGAATGAAATAATAATGGAAAGCAAGAAAAGAATAGACAGTTGTTTATGTATAATATTTCTTAAATGGTTTACTTCCTAATTCAGTTATTTCTAAATTTGAGTGAGAGCCTCTATTGGTAATTTGCACTTTTGTAGAGTTAACTGTTTATATCTCTTTCTTTTATATTGGAAACTTGCATTATTGTAGAGCCACCATCTTTAGAGCTTTCCTTTGTTACACTTGCCGATCTATAGCTTTCTTTAATATGCCCTCTCAGGCGAAACTGGGCTAGAAGCACATGAAGCTTGGATCGTAGAAAGTTAAACCAAACTGGAGAAAGGGGTTTGGTAAACGCATTAGCCAATGATCATCAGTAGGGATATATCGGACCATCACATTTTTGCAAAGAATATGATCGTACAGAAAATGAAAATCCACTTCAATGTGCTTCGTACAAGCATGAAAAATTGGATGCACAGCCAGATACATAGCACCAATGTTCTCATAGTAGAGAACATGTAGAGAGAACTGATGAACACCCAAATCCCATAAGAGAGACTGAAGCCATAACACTTCAATTTTCTTTATTTTTTTTTATCAATAATAACACTTCAGTTGTGGTATTAGCTAAGGAATGGAACTCAACTTCAATGTTGGAATGGGCGATGATGGGTTATTTCTTAGCGCTCTAGGAGATCAAATGAGAACCAAGGAAAATACCATAGTTGCAAGTAGACCAGTGGTCATCAGGGCAGCTTGCATAGTCAGCATCTGAAAATGCGACTAAAGATCCAAGAGAGAAGAGCCCAAAATCAATGGTACCTTTGAGATAACGCAGAATATGTTTCACTGCCATCCACTGATCATCAATGATTGTTTTACAAAATATAGAAAGAATCTACAATTTAAAAGTATTGTTGAAATAACAGAAAATAAATTTAAAAAATATTGGGAGAACATTTCTCCTATTTATTGATTAGCTACAATATTAAATCCTAGGATTAGGAAAAATGGCTTAAATATTTTACTTAAAACATATTGTGAAAATATGAATATTGAAATTGGAAATAAAAAAGAAGAAATTAATAGTTTATTATTTGAAATGTACAGTTTATATGAATATGAAGTAATAGGAAATAATTCTACGAGTTGTACAACTGTATCTTCTACTTCTGAAGTTGAGTCCAGTAGTAGAAGAGAAAAACTTTTTTATTTAATAAATAGAAGGCAAAAATCTGGTACCTCAACAACAAGTTCATTTACTGAACTTAATTTTTATTTAGAAGCAAAATTTTTTACTTTAGGTGAGGGAACAAATAATTTTAATATTTTAGCCTCGTAGAGTGAACATTCAAAAAATTATCCAGTTTTCGTCGCCATGGCACATGATCTACTAACCCCTCCAGTGTCTACAGTTCCATCGAAGTCTTGTTTTAGTGCAGGTACTAGGGTGTCGGACGACAAAAGAAATTGTATGAATGATGAAAGTATAGAGATGTGCATCTGCTTTAAAGATTGGCTAGATGCTGAAGACATATTAAAAGACAAAGGAGGGCATGACACTACACCCGATATTTCACCTGAAGTAGATGATGAAAGTCAAGAACAATAGGAGAGAATCAGAAAATGATGAAGTCAATATTTTTTGTATACTCACTCAATAGTTGTATAGCATTTTTCAAATTATTGTAATTTTTAATTTTATTTAATTTATTTATGATTTTTTAACAATGTAGTTTTGTATTTTCAATTTGTAACTGTATTGTATTTTTTATATTTTATTAATTTATTCAATTTTCCAATTTTCATATTTCACTCATCCAAGTATCCAACCATTGTATGCTTTGTAATTTGTATTGATGATGCGCAATCCGGTTGGTCTTAGCCGCCGGTTACCTTGCCTCTGATGGAATCGGAGGTGCCTGAAACAGGAAAGAACTTGGAGACTTCCGGGGAGGAACCCAGTTGGAACACTCCGAAGCTCAAGTTAGTGCTCTTGAGAAGGCAAGGGAAATGAAGAACTTCAAGACCAGAAAGCGCAAGAATCAAATACCTCCTTCCTTGGGAGATGGGGGTCTTTTATAATCACCCTGTACTCTTACTTCCCTACCTCTGCCAGTTCGGGCATTATTACCTCCGCCAGATCGGGTGTCATTTCCTCTGCCAGATCGGGTGTCATTTCCTCTGCCAGATCGGGTGTCATAACCTCCAATGCTAGTTGCCAGTTCGGGTGTCATAACCTCCACTGTTCCTTGTCAGGGCCGTCTCTGCCACGTCTGAGATGGCGGTGGCAGGTGGCCATTGGCGGGCGGCTGTCATGTGTCGGACCCCTAATCAGTCAGGTGCGCCTCCTCCGTGTACGGTCTTCCTGGGCGTCAGGTACGGTTGTTCAGTCAGGTGACTTGGAGCCGAAGTGGTGTGCAAGGTGGTCTTGAGTTCGAATAGAAGTGTGGCCCAAACTGCCCCTGGGTGGGCAGTTCGGGTTTTTTGCCTTTTGGGCTCCTTGTAAGGCTCAAAACCTCGAAGGGAGAGCTCGGGTTCCTCCTTGGGGAGCTCGAGACTCTTTAGCTCGGAGCTCGGGTTGTAGGTTCCTCCTTTGGGGGAGCTCGGGACTCTTTTTCTCGGAGCTCGGGTTGTGGGCCCACTACCGTGCCGAGCTGGTGCTTCTGCCAGGTCACTCTCGGTTGCTTCCACGTGTGGCATGGCCAAGGGGTCGGGTCAAATCTCCCTTCATCAATTGCCCCCCACTCCCCATGCCCGGGGTCCTGACCCGGCGTGGGGAGTTCATGGGATGACGGGTGGATTTGCCTCGGGACACTTTGGCCTTGGGTTAGAATTTCTCCGGTCTGACCTGCTTGTGTTCTTGGCTCAACCAGGGTCGGCTTGGTTCGGCCAGGGGTCAATCCCGGGCTGCGTGTAGCTCACGCATGTTAACGATTTCAAATTTTTGAACGTCAAAAATGCACGCCAAACTGACTTTTCCTCGGGGGGTGCGCAGCCAGTTTCGCGGGGAGCCGTTGGATGGTTTCGATCTTAGCCGTTGATGCGCGAGTACAGTGGCTATAAATAGTGGGGGGCCCCTGGTCACTTTCCTTCGCCATTCTTCAACATTCGTTTCTTGAGCTCGCGTCCAAGGCTGTCAGCTCGCGTCAATTTTCGTAGTCCGGTAGCTTTTCCTGGTGAGTCCTCAGCCCTCCTTGTTTTGATGTCTAGCTCGGGTAGTTTAGATAGTCTCCTGGGGGGTCCGATGCTGGTTCTATGAACCGAGCTTCTGCCCCCGACAACCTTAGTGAGTCGAGGCAGGGCCATAGGTAGAGCTCAAGGAAGAGCTCAGGTTTGAGCCCGTAGGCCGAGTCACCTCGGGTAGTTTGGCATCCACCTCCCGTCGAGGTCGGGTGCCTGATAAGTTCAGACCTTCCACTATGACGCCCAAGAGGCTTTGGTCCCTTATCGCCCAGTACAACCTGCCCGGGGAGTATACTTATATTTTACCCTCGGGCGACTTTCCTTGGGAGCATGGTCCGGACGAGATTGTGATATTCCGGGAGCAGCTTGTTGCCGGGCTGCGCCTTCCCTTCCATCCCCTTATTGTCGAGGTCATGAACCACTTCGGCGTCACTGTAGGTCAGCTTCACCCGAACTCCATCCGTAACCTTGTCGGGACCATCTCCTTTTGCTGTGAACAGTGCCTTCCATTGGACCTAGAAATTTTTTACGCTATTCTCATGCTTAAGAAACAAGCGGGTCCCCTGCCCGGGCATAGGAGGGCATACTACTTATCACCTCGCCCGAGCTTCAAGCTCTTACACGATCTCCCAAATAAGGTCTCGGCATGGAAGCGGGACTACTTCGTGGTTCAAAGTGCTACGGGGTGGCCGTTTCCTACTGAGTGGGGGTTGGCCATTCCTGACCCCGGTGTCGCATTAGACGAAGATACGGTGAAGGGCCTCCAGGACTAGGCCCGGCTTGGGCTCAAATGCGAAGTCTACCTGACGGAGGACAAGCCTATTCAGGCCGGTCTGAGTTCGGGTAGGTTTCTTGCTCAGATAAAGATACTTTTGCTTTTGTTTTTATTCTCGTCTTTTGACGCCGAGCTCCTTTTTGTAGGTGTTATGGAGGCAGAGAAGACTCGAGGTGCGAGTCTGTTCAATGGCATGAAAAGGAGGAAGCGAGCTGCTAAGCGGATCCACGTCGATCCTCCCCGGGTTGCAGAGCCCGAGGCATCGAGAATGGAGCCTCTTGGGGAGCCCGAGGTGGCCCCTCCAGTTCAGGAAGCGGCAGGGGCTCCCTATGCCGACACTGCCTATACCCGGGCTGTGCCTTCAGGCTCGGGAAGTCACGATGAGGTTGGGAGCGTGCTGATGCTGAGCTACGCTCTCCGAAAAAGCAAGGCCATTTGCCCCGAGGAGGTCGCGACGTGGGCTGATCTTCCTACAAATCTCATAGGCGCTCGTGCTGCATCTCACGCCATGGTGGTAAGTCGGAGTAGTGTTTTTTTTTTTTTACCGAGCTGATTTTTTCTCGTTCTGGCAGGTGAACTCCTCTATCCACGCTTTGGCAATCCAGGCGGAGAGGGGCTTGAAGCGAGCGCAAGCTGCCGAAGCGACTTCCCGTGCTGCACGAACCGAGCTAACGAGGTCTCGGAGGGACAAAGAGGCCTTAGGAATGGTGGTGAGACACATGGCGGACCTGAAGTTGGATCTGGAGCATCAGGTCGAGTACCTTCAGAAAGATATCAGGGAGAAGACTCAGATCTTCTCTTAGGCCGTCGAAGAGGCGAAGGTGAAAGCCGTCGAGGATTACATCGCTTTGCCGCGTTTTGACGACATGATGGTGGGCTCGTATAGAAGGGGTTTCAAGTTGAGCCGATGGATGATAAGGAACACGTACCCCGAGCT